AATTCTAATATATATATATTTCACACTAGTAAATAGAAATACATTTATTCTGATTTTTTAAATATTAAAGTTATAATACATTATGTTTTATTATAAATTTAATAAACTGATTCTCCTTTTTGTAGTATTAAGATTATGATAAATTCTGATTTCTTATAAAACGTAATGAATTTATTATGATTTTTAATACTAAATTTATAGTAAATTATGATTTAGTATAAAATTTAATAAATTTGTTCTGATTTTTTATAATAAATGTAGAATATGATTTATTATAAAATTTAATAAACATTTTCTGATTTTAATAAATATTTTAAAAAATACTAACTAGTTAATAATATTTATTACTTGAAAGATATTTTATGTTTTATATTATAAAGTAATTAATTTATTCTTTTGTTTATATATTTTGTTAATTATTTTTTATAAATATTTTTTTTGAAATATTAAATAGAAATTAATAATGGAATAATTTATATTAATATACTATATTATATTAATATATTATACTAATATATTATATTATTAATGTACATTACTTGACATCCTGTCAACATAATAGGAAAACTGTCCTTTTTTTTTGTTATTTGGACCGATTTGGTTGACATTTCCGAAATATAGGAAATGTCAACCGAAATAATGTAATTTTTATATTACCATCCATTTTCATGTTGGTGAGCCTCGACATCGACATATGTTGGGCGACATCAGTGACATTTGGCGACATTTGAAACCATGGAGCTGGTAGAATAATGAGACAAGGACCACAAGGCCTTAATAAAGGAAGCACAGTAAACAGAACCTAAAGGAGTACAAGTCCAAATTCAAGTATCAGGCTTGGATGGATCAAAATATTCTTCCAAAAGTTGAAGTAGGTAGAACAATGTGAATTTCAGAATCTCTTATACCCCTTCGGAAGCCCAAATCCCATGTAAAACCATTGCTTGAGTTGTGGGAACAAGGAACTTGGAAATAAGCTCATTTTTAAACCAGGTTAGTGCATACAAAGAGGGAAATTGTTCCTTCAAAGAAGAAGACCCTAGCCAAACATGTTCTCGGAATTTAATACTATTATATTTGATGATTGGTAGGAATAATTGTAGAACCTCATTGATGGCTTCCCAAGGAGATGCACGATTTGTCCTAGCACACTCACTATCACTTTTGCCCATAATTTTTCCTTGTCTTGTGGCAATCTCCATAGTCACTTACTGAAGAGAGCAAAATTCCTCCTCTGTATATTCCCTATCCCTAATCCCCCTCCATTCTTATCTCTGCTTACCATTTCCCAACTGATCCTGTGACCCCTCTTTCCTTCCCCCAGTTCCCATTAAAAATCTCTCATCATCTTTTCAATCTTTCTACTCACACCCATCAGAATCTTAAAAACTGACAGATAATAAACAATAATTTGGATAAAGTCGATCTAATCAGTGTAATTCTACTGCCCAAGGATAAATACCCTTTCGTCCAATAGGCAAGCCTCTTAGTGAACCTTTCTAAGATTGGGTTCTGGAACCTAACTTCTTTTGGGTTAGCTAATGAGCTCATTGGCCATTTCTTCACAACTTGTTGTGCTTCTTTATTTGCTTAGTGAATTCATTTTCTGAGTTGCTGATCTCATTGACTATAAGTACTCCATCGCAAATGCGTTTGTTATGGACAAAGCATCTTGAAAAACTGAAATAACGGAGTTCATCACTCTCCTCAATCTTGTGGCAAACACCTTAGCCACAATCTTATAAACACTTCCAGTCAAACTAATGGGATGCAAGTCTTTCATTTCTACAGCTCCACCTTTTTTGGGAATTAAAGAGATAAAAGTGGTGTTTAAGCTTCTTTTTTTTTGTTTTGATCAGCAAAGGAGAATTTTATTCAATTAAGAGAATCAGTTACAGAATTGCAGCAAATAGAAAGCATACATTGCCCCACAAAATATTAAAATAAAGCCCAGAAAGCTGCTGCCTATAAACTCCCTGTATGGCTAATGAATCAACCATCCCATTTGCAGTTCTCCTGATCCATGTGAATGAGGCATTGAGTTCCCTTGCTAGGCTTTAAGGAGCATTACCCGGTGTTTAAGCTTCGTTCCAAGGCTGCTGTATTGTGGCATTCCTCCTTCACTTTAAGCAGGTCTAGTTTGACCATATTCCAATACTTGTATAATTTGATGGTGAAACCCTTGGATCCAGATGTTTTTTCCCCATCCGTCTCATTAATTGCCTCTTTGACCTCCTCTTCTGAGAATGGTCTCTCTTATTCCGCCACCTGAAACTCTGAGAACATCTCAAGATGCAAACATCAAATTTCAACTTCTACTTATGAGGATCCATATAAAGATTCTCGTAGAACTTTGGAATGGTGTCCTTTAACTTCTCATCCTCCTAAATCAACTGCCCCTCACTTAGCAGTTTCTTTATGGTATTGGATCTTTTTCTTGCATTGGCTACTTTGTGGAAAAAAGTAGTGTTCTTTTTTAGCTTTGGATCTTTTCCTTCTTAGTGCCTCCTCCATTGTTCCTTCTTTCTCTTTCAAGTTAGTTTCAGAAATGATTTTCAGACATTCAGCCTTTCTCTTGTCATCTGTCTTTGACCTCTGCATTTGCCACGTTTAGATTTTGCTTTATGACCATTTTAACCTTTTGCTCAACACGTGGCTAGCCAAGCCCCTCAAACTCTACTTCTGATCACTACTTGTGAATGTTAGCATCAAACTCCTCTACTCCTAACCAACAATGATCCAGCCTGAAAGGGTGATTATGTCTTTTTATGCCTTTTGTATCTAGTAAAATAGGCATGTTGTCTGACATTGGCCTTGGAAGAGATTCTTGGATGGATTTAGGAAATAAATCTTCCCAATCTGAGGAAATTAAAATTCTGTCCAACCTGACTAGCATGAGAGTTTCTTGATTGTCAGTCTAGGTGAAGGGAGCCTCGGCCAAAGGAAGATCATGGAGTTCCGATTTGCGCATAAAGTTAGAAAACATTCTCATGCCTCTGTTGACTGTTGATTTTTCTACAACCTTTTTTGTCTTCCATTTTAAGGATAGCATTAAAATCTCCCAAAATGTTTCTTTTAAGTTGGATTCAACTAGGCCATACACCGCTGTAACAACTACTAGTGAATTGTTTGGGAGCCATTAGAGTTTTACAGTGATGGAAATTACCTACTTCTTTATCCTGAAGTTTGAAAGTGCTTGTATCCCAGATTAGAGCAATACCCCCTCTTGTGTTCACCATTGGGATTGCTATCCAGTCACAAGAGTCAAAACCCTATACACTCCTGACTACCCTATAGTTGAAATTTTGTAATCTGGTCTATTCTACAAAGTAGTAAAAAAGCTAAAATTTTTTGGAGTTTCATTCCGTTTGCTGTGTGTTGGGAAGTATGGAAAGAAAGGAATAGAAGGATCTTTGAAGGAAAAGCCTGCAACAAGTTGAAGATATGATCAAGGATTGGCTCTAAATTTATGGATTGGATACTTATTTACCAGACTTCAGAGATGTTTCAAGAGGTTCTCTTGAAGAAAAGTTTTGGAAAACACTTGAATGGGTCTAATGGATAATTCTGTATTGATGTAAAAGTTTGAAAAAGTTGGATTTAGGTTGTTTTCTTTTCTTTGGGCGATTTCTCATTTTCTTTTGTGCTATTGATGTACTCCTTTTCTACTTAATGAATTTCCTTTTTTATTTACTACCAAGAAGAAAAGGATTCGAGTGTAGGGGAGAAGCTTCATCTCTACTCTCCGGTAGGACCACTGGCAGATCTGGACATAGAAAACCCTGCCTTCCTTGACCAAACTTTCACAGCCAACTTCTTCAGTGGGAACTATGTCGCCTTGCCTTTGTTCCTTTCTTCCACTGGTTTGGCTTTTATAGTGTTTACTTTTTGTATTCCGATGAATTCCCCACATGGGTTTGCATCTACAGTGGGACTGCCAAGGTTGTATACATTGATCATTGTTGGTATGAGATCCTCTTCTTCACTCAGCACTGAAGGCCTGGATGACGATTTTCCATTGTGAAAAAATTTCCTCCGAGAACATCTCTGAATTAGTCAAGGCTGAGGATGAAAAGTACGATCACCTTCATTTCCCTGAGACCTACTTCTCCCTTTCCTCTTTTTGATTTTCCCTATTGGGCTTCTTATCCTTATTGAGCCTGGCTTTTGTTGGGCCTGGCCTTGGCTTCTAGTTAAAGCTGCTTGGGTACTCAGGTTTGGATCCAGGCCTTGGGTTTTAATTTGCTCCACGACCACAGTAGCAATTTTGTTAATGAATGCCTCTTCTTCCTTCTCCTCCTGATGATTGTTTAAAATGTCACCCCCTTCCTAGAATCTTACACTCTCGCACTGTGGCAGTCTGATCTAGGGTGCAATCTACGGTGGGGATTTTTTCTACTCTTGCACTCAATAAATGCTGCGTTTTTTTTATCAATAACTCTGAAAATTTTCATTAATTAAGATGCTTTAATATACAACAAGAAGTTCCAAAGAAATCAACATAGAAGCTGACCCAGGACAGAATTACAAATGTGCCCAGAACATATCTGTTCTTTGAACCCCTTGCTTTGCTAAGCTGTCAACCAAAGTTCTCCTTCATTACCTGCCTACAAATTCATGCAGGCTTCTTCTTTTGATAGTAAGAAAAAATCCTTTCATTAAAAGAGAAAAAAGCATTATAATTACAGTGAATAGATTTCACCCGCGACATTCAACAACAGTACAATAATAAAGGAAATAGATGAAAAAAATAGAAATATGTTTCTAAAAAGTTAGACTAAACATTTGGATTCTTTTCCAAATATCTTCCAATGATTGCCACTTTTTTTTGAAGGAAGTGTATATTTATAGGAATTATTGCTCAAGAATATCTTAATCTGTTTCTCTTTGTTTTCTTTTCCCTTCCATTACCCCCACCCCCCTTTCCTCTCTGTACTAGTTTTTTTGTTAGTTAATTATTAATTGTCACTAGTCACTAAAATTGGTTTCTTTCTACTCAGAGTATGCTTGACACAGAATTCTTCACAGAGTATGGAGAGGCAAGTCGATACCAAATTCAAGAGGTCGTTGGCAAAGGAAGCTATGGTGTTGTAGGCTCTGCAATTGACACCCACACTAGAGAAAGGGTGGCTATTAAGAAGATCAATGATGTTTTTGAGCATGTTTCTGATGCTACTCGCATTCTCAGAGAAATCAAGCTCCTTCGGCTGCTTAGACATCCAGATATTGTAGAAATAAAGCATATAATGCTTCCTCCATCTAGAAGAGAATTTAAAGATATTTATGTTGTTTTTGAGTTGATGGAATCTGACCTTCATCAAGTAATTAAGGCAAATGATGATCTTACTCCTGAACATTATCAGTTTTTCCTATACCAGCTTCTTAGAGCTCTAAAATACATACACACAGGTTAATGTTGTTTTTTTAATGGTATAGTATTTTCATTGGCTTTTCACATCCCTGATGATCATCGATGAACTTTTTTTTGCAGCAAATGTGTTCCATCGAGATTTAAAACCAAAAAACATTCTCGCTAATGCAGACTGCAAACTGAAGATTTGTGATTTTGGGCTTGCTCGTGTGTCATTTAATGATGCCCCATCAGCTATTTTCTGGACTGTATGTTGCTTGCTTTGTCATGCTATAAATCATGGCTTTACTGCACCTTTAGTATCTTTGGAGATATTTCATATTTGTGAATTGTACATTTTTATATGATGTTAGCAAGCAACTGATATATTCTGATTACTTTTTGTTTACTTCTGGAAGGATTATGTGGCAACCCGTTGGTATCGTGCTCCTGAACTATGCGGTTCTTTTTTCTCCAAAGTAAGCCAATTCATGTTTCTAATATCTCAATGTTTTTAATTGTGCTTTCTAAAAAAAAACTTCTGTTTCAGAGTATTTGGGTGTTTATAACTTTGTTCTTTTGATTTGATTCTGATATTTCTAAGACTAATTATTGTTTTTTGCATTTGGGCAGTATGGCATTTGTGTTCAGTGCTCAGTTTGGATTGGTTTCCCAATCATGAAATGGGTTGCTAATACAGTGTGCTTTTTTTTGATAAATGCTAATACAGTGTGTTTCAGTAACTGGAGTTATTCAGCAACTGAAAACAGAATTACTTTCCTGCTTCTTTCCCTGTTAAAGTTATTTATTATCATCATCGTCAATCTTCTTTTCTTTTTTCATGTGTTTCTGCATGCTTGTTTATGCAGAATAATTGTCTCCTTGGTTGTGTTAGTGCTTTGTTGCATTTATAGGAATAGATTGTGTTGAATGTATTATGAGGAACCTTTTCCAGTATCAGATAAAACCTGTATGACAGTCATATGTCAAAACTCAACAACTCACAGAGCATAATCCCAACTAAGTGGAGTCAGATGGCATCCATTTGTCATTTTTTTTTCGGGAAAGGAAAGTAAATGTGACTGATGTAGCAGCATGTGTTTGTTTAGATTAGTTGAAGTCTCATTGGAAGCCCCAAAAGAATCTAACAGATTTAAAAAGAAGAAAGGGCCTGAAAGGGTCTTCTGATCTCTCTCCTCCCCCCCCCCCCTTGCACCATTGGTGACTGTCATGGATGAACAAGGTTCAAGATATTGATACACCCCGATATGGCAAAGGGGTGTATCGGTACTTTGAACTGCATGCATTCCTTTTTTTAGTTTTTTTTTCAAAAAATAGGTCAGAGGGGTAGATCTTAGGCCTGCCTACCCCCTGAAATAGGTCAAAACCCCAAAGGTCCTATATTTCGTGTATTGGTGACCTACTGATATGGGCCGATACATTGTGAAATTTTGATCCTTCTTGATGACTACATGAAATTCAGAGCTACTGGTGCATATAATTTTCTTTTCAGTGAAATAACAACTTTATTGCATGTAAAGAAACATGAATATGCATTAGACATGTAGCAAGTATGAGCCTTGATGGAATTTCCTTCCCCTATAGGGCTTGAAAACATAAGCAAAAAATTTCATTGTGGTCCCTAAAAACTGTACCAATATCTATAGGCCTTTCCCTGTCTTAGAAAATTCTATTCTTCCTCTCCTCCCAAATCACCCATAAAGTTGCAGCCATGATGCTCTTCACATGATCCTCCCTTTCTTGGTGGATGAGGGAGAAAAAGACCCCTTGAAGGGGGACTCAAGGTCATTGAGCCCACTCCATTTGCACCCAAAAGATAGAAACCCGGCTTTTAAATGCCATCTGCAAGCTGACAGGAATTAATAGATGATGTTGATTCCTAGCTTGCTAAGAACAAGGAGCAAATGTCAGGAGATATAAACCAACAAGACCGTCTCTGCGACATCTCACAAATGTTTTATATTTTGGTAATACACCTCCCAATTGGAAACCCTAATTTTGGTTAGCATAGATTTACTCCATACTTCTTTTACCAGGAAGTTCTCTGAGAAGGTAAAGAGGGAGTGATGATTTTAAGAAGGATGTGCATGAAAACAAACCTGAGGACATGGCTGTCCAGATTTTGCTATCAGGTTTCAAAGGATCAAATGAACCAATTCTAAAGAGGCAAAAGGTCCAAGGCTGCAGGATTTTTGTCATCCCTAAGCCCTCTCTTGAAACCAAAATCCCTAGAAAGGCCAACCCTAAACTAGAGGCAGAAATAACATGGTCGAGGTAGACAGGTTTAGTTTTTAGCACAGAGATAGAAAAGAGGTTGAGAAAAAACATCTTTCAGTAGTCTGTCACCTCACAAGTGTTTTACCGGAATCTGACCCTATACCTAGAGTTCACAAAGGAGTGAATATGATTATGAAACAAGGAGAGCAAGGCAACCACCACTTTCCAACATGAAGAGGAAGGTGCTCTATCATTTAGGTTGGCATCCTAGCCATTGGCATGTCTTCCATGAATACCAGGCAGCACATTGTGCCACAGCTTCTAGAGTAAATCGAGAATTTCCACAATCATTTCCCCAATAAAGATGAATTCCTATCCTGAATCCTTGCCATCCCTAGACCCACTTGAGACATTTTAGAGCATACAATATCCCAACCTAAATGTGGTCTCTCTTAGATTCCTCCAGTTCTTGACTACAATGATAAAGGTAGTATACTCCATCCAGTGTGTTCTTTTGAAATGAGAATGCTATCTTAGTATTCCTGTAGTTTGTCATCATCCTTGTTGAAGCGATCAGATCAGATAACTGATGAGGGGGAAGTGGATTGAACTATACTAGTTGAGGAAGTGCGGTCAGTTTGAGTATTGGTGTATGTTGAACTTCAAGATGCTGAAAGTTCTTTTTCTTGTTTGACTTTTGGTTTTTTCATGTCATTTAATTAAGGATCACTAGATTGTTATGTTTGGTATTAGGAAAAGAAATTCATGGAGTGTTTGGTACCTTTTGTTTAAGCAAGATTCAATATAGACTACTAGATGTGGAAAATCATATCATTTTGGCTTCTGTTATAGATTGAGCATTTCATGTTTGGTTTTTTGTTGTATGCCCTAAACCACCAGAGATCTCTTTGTGACTTTTACTTCTGGATACACCTGATGGTCAGCAACTCAGTATTTATTGTTCAGTTCGTAGGATTTATGTATGGAATGATTTATTTGTTTAAATTATCACAGTATCTTTCTAGTCATGCAGCTTCTAAGATCATGTATTTTGCAGTACACCCCTGCAATTGATATTTGGAGTATAGGATGCATATTTGCAGAAATGCTCACAGGGAAGCCTCTGTTTCCTGGAAAGAATGTGGTGCATCAATTGGATCTCATGACTGACTTGCTTGGCACTCCTTCTGCTGAATCCATTTCCAGGGTTGGTTCTTTCTTTCCATTAATTTCTTTTGTTGCCACAAAATTTGTTAATAGCAAATTGTCAAAATTTTCAAACAATTGTAATCAGCAAGCTAGTTAATTTACATATCACTTCAATTTTCTGTTAATTTCTTTTGTTGAGTTATATCAGTTAATTTAGCCAAACTAGGGGTGAACAGCACATTTATTGGAGGTCATGTCTTGATGATGTATGTGGGTACATAAGAATGGGCTTTTGGGTAGTTAAGGCTAGTCAAACAAATATGGGTCTTTTAATTGATGATTGAAGGTTAAACCTTTTTGCTTTTTTGGGCAGGAAGAGGAATTGGATTACTAATTAATCAGCTCTTTGTGACTTTGATGATTCATAGTGATTGTTTAACTTCTTTTGTCAATTTTAACCTGGTTTTGATCTTTCGTAACATCTGCAGATTCGGAATGAAAAGGCTAGAAGATATTTAAGTAGCATGCGGAAAAAACCACCAGTTCCTTTCTCACAAAAGTTCCGTGATGCAGATCCATTGGCTCTTCGTCTACTTGAACGTCTGCTCGCATTTGATCCTAAAGATCGTCCAACTGCTGAAGAGGTAAGGATTTGGTACCTCAGATAGTTTGACATTACAAGTTGAATTTCTATAAACATGCTTAAATTTTCTGTAATCTAATTGTTTTAATTGTTTATTATCTGATACCGGTGTTTCCTACATTTGCAGGCATTAGCTGATCCATATTTCAATGGTTTAGCAAATGTGGACCGTGAACCATCATCAACACAACCCATTTCCAAACTTGAGTTTGAGTTTGAAAGGAGGAAATTGACAAAAGATGATGTGAGAGAGTTGATTTATAGGGAGGTATGATCGTATAGTTTTGCAATTCTTGCTTTAACAGTAATTTCAATTTCTTGAACCTGTACTCATAATTGCTATTCCTTTTAAAGTGAACAGATTTTAGAGTATCATCCTCAAATGCTGCAAGAGTATCTTCGTGGTGGAGACCAGACTGGTTTCATGTACCCAAGGTCAGGCTTCCATATTCATAAAGCTCTAGAGTACTGTATTTTGTAAATAGAGTGGCTTCTTTTTGTTTTTTTTTTAGATTTTATCCTCAGAAGCTTGCTAAATATTTGTGACAAATGAAGTGATTCATTTACTGCAACCTAAACAGCAGTATGCTTAATCTATCTTTTTTCTACCATTGTATTTCTCAGTGTGTGTTTTTTTTTTTCAAACATTGAATACCATAATACTAAGGTTGTCCAGTCACTTTCCTTTTTCTCCTTCATTCACCAAAATCCTTGTGTTATTCTTAATAAATTTAAGATGATCCACTTTCCAAGTTTCATTTATATCATAACTTGTTAATTTGTACATAACTTTTTTCTCTTTTTGTTTTGTAATATAAATTAGCTGTCTGATTTCAGGATCCATCTGAATAAAATGAAATATTCATTTTAGACACGAGAGATCTGGCCTCTCTAATAAGGTGGTAGAGGACCATGGACAATTGGATCCATAACAGCTATTTATATCTTTCAAACCTTCTATTGACCTAAACTTCCTATACAAATAAATATAGGGTTTCAAGTTTGGCTTCTTTTGCTTTACCATTTTCCTGCTTTCTTCTTTGTATCATACTTCCATTGAATTGAATCTGATAAAATCCTCAACATAACAAGGGAGATCGGTGCATGCTTCAAATGGACAAGGATCAGCTAATAGTTTAGCTGACACGTTGGCTAAACAAGGGACTGTGTGGGAGAGAATGTTCTGGGCAGTTTTGTAAGAAAGATTACTGGGGGCTCAACACCTACTTAGGGGTTGACAGCTGTACTTAAATCTGGAAAGTTATTCTTAAGTTATATTAATGAAGTTACTGTTTCCAATAAAAAAATGAATCTGATAAAATAGGCTTCAAGTATCATTCTGTTTTAGCAGATCCATTCATGCTGATTTGAGAAAACATAAATCTGTACTACATGTACAAATGTTTTGAAAATCGTAATTGTATCGTAAATCGTAGAGAAAGTTGAATTGAATCGTGAATCGTATCGTAAATCATAAGATTATTTCTATTTTATACAAACTTGTCAAAAAATTAAATCTAGATATATTAAAAGGCTAAATATATATAGGAAGGTGATTTTACCCTATTTTTGATCTATATCTACCACATATGTACTTAAAACAATAGAATTTATCACTTATACAATAGAAGCCTAAGATGATATGATCATGTTTGACTAGAAAATCAAACAAATCTAAATACAATGGTCCTTTAACTTGCATATGATAGAAAATAAACTCAATTTCTAGTCTTGAGAAAATAAACTCAATTTCTAGTCTTGAATAATGTAAATAAGTCATTTTTTAGCAAGGGCTTTAAAAAAAGTCTCCCATGGAAAAACTAAACATAAACAAGAAAAAGAAACAAAGTAGAGAACTAATTCTTAATTGAATTTATTTGAATTGTAGTGAATCGTAAGAATCATAAGATTTATGAATCAAATCGTAGGATTCAAACAAAAATTGTAAGATTTTTGTAGAAAAGGATTCAGACATAAGATTCAAATCAAAACCCTTGGGAATGATTCAAATTGTGAATCATATCGTAAATAGTAACATTTTGACAACATTGACATTTTAACCAAAGAATTAGGTTTTGTCATTGGTATTACACTGTATTCAAAATTATATTATCCTTTGAACACAATATATTGCCAGAGATAATGATTTATCTTGCCAATTAAAAAATAACTATGTCAGCTAAGGTACATCACTACATGTCTTAACCGTAGCCTCAATTTAGTGTCATGGAGTCATTATATAGTATGTAATAGTGAATCCCTCCACTCTAACCCATTGATTACATATCAACACTATGTCAATGCTTTTTCTTTATTCATTTTGTAGATTTCTTCATCCAATTTAGTCCAGCTTTATAGAAACATTAGATGTCACTTTGAAATCTTAATTTGATGAGATAAATGCAATATCTTCTGTCTTAAAGAACATAATTCATTTTACTTCCATGGGAATCAAAGTTAATAGACACTAGACAGCATCTTGTATAATCTCAATCCATATTTATTGTCATGGAGTCAAATATGTTCAAATATACATCTCTTTGCTTCAAGAACAACTAACACAGTTGTACCTTTTTCTCAACCCAGTGGAGTTGATCGGTTTAAGCGACAATTTGCACATCTTGAGGAGCATCCTGGTAAAAGTGAAAGAGGAACTCCACTTTTAAGGCAGCATAACTCCTTGCCAAGGTAGAATCTTGAACAGAATCATGTGGATGATTTCCCACGAGTGTAGTGTAGCTCATTCAATCATGTGTGTTATATGATTCTTCTGCCTTTCTTTCCCTCCCCACAAAACAGAGAACGGGTTAATATTCCAAAGGATGATGATGCTGACCAAAATAACAATTATGAAATGCGAACAGAAGATTCTGTTCTCCGTACAACCCTTGACAGCCCCCCACGTGATGCAAATGAGGATGCACCAGCTATGCAAAATGGCCCCAGTAAACCAAACTACAGTGCCCGTAGTCTGTTAAAGAGTGCTAGTATCAGTGCCTCCAAGTGCATTGGTGTAAAAGGAAGAATAGATACTGAGGTAAAAGTTGTTCCCCATCTATTGGCCCTTGTTTTAAGTTTCTGAACGATCTTGTAACTATATGCAAATGTTTTTTGGGATGGTACGACATATTACTGGTTTTCAAGAAGATGAAGCCTGTGTTTAAATTTTTCAAGCCATAATCTTTAACCAGGAGCATAGACTGCATCTTGTTCAATGATTAAACAGTAACTTTTGAATCTTGTCTTGGTGGTTCAATGTTCTGATATTAATATTGTATGGCATTAGTCCAGTGGTCAGCCATGAATATGACCAAATGATCAAGTCATGACATATAGCATCTGTTAAAGTGCCTAGTGTCTATAGAATTATGGAGAGTAAATTATTGTTCTACATTTCAACCTAATGATTATATTGGATGGCCTTACTGACTTGGCTTTTCTTACAGGAGGAATCAATTGGCAAAAATGATGACGGGGTTGATGGTTTATCAAACAAGGTTGCAACACTCAATGCCTGATCTATACCTTTGGTCAGATCAATTGAGTGGGATGACTATATTTTTCCTGGCCTACATGCTTCATCTCATTTTGTACACTAATGCATCCCTCTCTACAATCTGCATCCAAGCCGATCGCAATGTTTCAGACAGATGCTAGCTGTGCGATGTCACTAGAATTCTTTCATCAGTTATGCCTGGTTTTATTATTGCTATTCTATTTCATTCTTTTCTGCACAAATTTTATTGCCTGGTAGCAACAACAAAGAACTACAGTTCTTCCAGTGCTGATTAGAAAGTACTTAGGGCTTGGACTTGGATACACTTGTGGCTCCATTGTCCAACTTTCCATACTTCAGTATCCATGCCATTGTATAATCTTTCTTCCTTTTTCCCCTTAAATCTGTTGAATGGGCATTTTCTTTCTTTTTTTGGGGCAAGCCTCCAAATGAACCTAGAATGAATCAAATGATTAAATTCAATGATCGAAGTTTCGGTAGCAATATTGTGTATGAATAGTTCAATTGCGAGAGATCCAGACTGCCAAACCGTACGAAACCACTGAATTTGGCAGTTCGTTGTTTGGTTTTAAAAACGGTTTGTTCTCGATTGAACTGAATTTATAATATATTTGTGTATAAAATATATTTATTTGACATTTAAGCATATTTCATAATTCTTAACAATATACGTATTTCATACATTGTTCGAGAAAGTATGAATGTGGTTTTTATAATTGTAACTAGCAGGGACTCATGCGATGTGCGAGATTTATTAAGCGAAAGATAAATAATAGAAATGGTTATTTATTAAAATATTGCTTATAGTTTCATGGATTTACTGAAATCTATCCTATAGTTAAAATTTTACTAAAACACTACTTATGAATTGATTTAATAAATCTTTCATTAAATGACAGTGGAAAATGAAGTGTTGACCCTAATAATCATTTAAATAAATTTAATCAAAAGAACATAAAAATAAAAATACCATTTTTTGCCATTTATAAGACATAGACAACCACTCTATTGGTTATATTTGGTTAATTTTGTTTTTTGTACAAAAAAAGTATTAAAGGTATTTTTGGAATAAAAAATAATGGGCCTAATGGCAAAACAAACACTCCTTAATAAAAGGTTGATTAAATAAATGAGTTATAAAATATTTGGAATGTTTTAATAAAATGAAAACTATAAGGTATGATATTTGGTTCAGTTCGATCGTAGGCTATCTGCCAACCAAATCGACCTGATCTAGTTGGAGAGTTGGTTAGTTGAAACTGACTGACTTTTTGTGAAAACTAATCTACTTAAGCGAAAGTTAAATACTAGAAAGGGTCATTTACTAAAATACCTCTTTTAATTTCATTGACTAACTAAAATCTACCCTATAATTAGAATTTTACTAAAACACCACTTATAATTTGCAATGGAATTAGTCAATCTTCCATTAGATGACAGTGGAAAATGACAATGTTGACCCTAATGTTCATTTAAATAAATTTAATCAAAAAAAATAAAAATAAAAATACCATTTTTCCCTTAATATGACACATCAACCACTCTATTGGTTAATGGCAATGAAAAAAAAATCATGGGTCTGATGGCAAAACAAACACTCCTTAATGAAAGGTTGATTAAGTAAATAAGTTGTAAAATATATTGGATGTTTTAGTAAAATGAAAACTATGTAGGTTTAAGTAAATATGTAAAACTATAAGGTGTGTAGGAATGGCAACAGGGCGGAAATCATATTCCCCGCCCTTGACCCCGATTTTGAAATTAACCCCCACCCCTGATCCCCAACGGGGATGGGTTCCCCGTGGGGACCTGAATCCCCAAAATGTTTTTAGATAATAATATTTTTTTAAATAAATTTATTTAAAATAAATAAAAATTTTAAATTATAAATAATGTTTTAAATATGTTTTGATATATAATATAAATAATATTATAGTATATTTAATATAAATAACATTTAATATATCGGCGTCAGGTCGGGGCAGGGACCTTAATCCCCATCCCCGACCCTGATTGGGGATTCCTATTAATCCCTATCCCTACCTCGCCCCCGCTCAACCAAAATAATCCCCACCCCCGGCCCCCATCGGGTCGGGGAAGTCGGGTCCCCGTCGGGGATAGGGAAAATTGCCATCCCTAAAGGTGTGTTCTAGTAAATGACCCTAATAGAAACAAATAAGAGTATACAATTATTTAATATTTTTTAACATTTTAAATAATTAATAATAATTCATATTTTATATACTACTTTTAATAATACAAAAATGACAATAATTAATTTCAGTTAGGTTTATTCATCAAACTGATGAAACTGACCAAACCGATCAAATCGACTTGAGTTGCTCGTTTTTTCTAGTATTTTAGGTTGGCTTTGGTTAAAAAATTTCCCAATTCGACCAAGTTGGATCAATTTCACATTGGCCATTTGTAAACCGACCAAAATCGAACGACCTAACCATGGATATATATATTAATATTTTATATTTTTAATATGTAAAAGTGCAAAATTTCCCATATTTCTAGTCTAAAAAGTTTTATATCATAAATTTAATTCTTAAATTTATTTTTTAATAATTACATTGTAATTTTTAAAATTAAATTAAATTTTTAAGTTTAAATCTTTTGAACCAATTGACCAAACCAAAAGATCAACCAAAACTGATACAATTTGAGTGGGTTGGATTTCACAAAAGGTCAATCAGTTTCAGCTGACCAACTCCCCAACCTAACCAAGTCAATTTGGTTGGTCAAATAGCCTATGACCGAACCAAACCAACTCACGAACACTCCTAATTTTAGCTAAATTAATAGTCTCATCTTTGATAAATAAGAATAGTTTAATCCCCAATAATTATTACAAATTTATAGCAAAAATACACAATTACTGAAACTATATTAATAATTAAAAAATACAATAAGTACTAAAAATATATTAACTTAGTAAATAAATAGTATAATCTTAAATAATAATTTAATCTCTAAAAAATAATCAATAAGTTATAACAAAAATATAATAAATACAATAAGTACAATAAGTTTAATTTTAAAATTTCAATAATAGTTGTTTAATCTCCAATAATTATTAAAAATTTTCTGTTAAATAGAAAAAACAAAATAAATTTATACATAATCATTAAAAATACATTTATCACAAAAAACAATAAATAATTACTGAAATACAATAAATATTAATTTTAGTATATTTAACTATATAATAAATACAGATTAAGAGTTTAAAATTATTATAAATAAATATTATTTTTGAAAGTTATTTTCTCAAATTATTACTTGATATAATTAAAATTAGTTATTTACAATATTATGTAAAAATATTAAATTATTTTTAGTTTCAATATTATGTTATAATTATTTTTCTAACTTTCAAGATTTTATAAATTTATTACATCATTTCTTTATTTTAACTATTTAAAATCTAGTTATGTTAAATATTTTGTTATTTAAAATATTTATTTATTTAAATAGTAAAATAATATGTAAAATATTTAAATTTTAAAATATGAATTTTTTATTGAATTCAATTATCCATAAAATCATATTTTATACTATTATTACATAATTTCATTATTAATTTCGTAATATATTAAATTATTATTAATTTCAATATTATGTTATATATATTTTTCTACTTTGAAGAAATGTTTTAAGTTTATTACATAATTTCGTTATTTTAACTATTTAAAATCTTGTTATGATAAATATTTAGTTATTTAAATATTTAAATAATCTATAAAATATATAAATCTTTTGTTATTTGTATTTTATTTATTTAAAGCTATTACATATTATTAAATATTTAGAAAACATTTAAATTGATAGTCTTAAAAAACATTGTTTACATTGTTAGTATATAATTTCGTGATATATTTTGTAAAAACATAAAATTACTTTTTGTGTTTTTAATAGATATTTTAAAGTTATTTTATAATTTTGTTAGAATATTTCTATAATTCTTAAATTTTTTAATCTAAACTTTCTTTAGATAGATATAAATTAAAAGTAGGGGAGAGGATAAATAGGAATTATAAATAATTTAGGAGAGAAACTCTCTACTAAATTAGAGATAACTTTGGAGATAAATAGGAATTAGAGATAATTTTGGAAAAAGTAGGGGGATAGTGGGGGAGGTAGTTTAGGAGAAATTTTAGGAGAAGTGATTATTTAAGTTATTGGGAAAGTGCATATCATTGGTGGCACCTGTGAACATTTCAGTTCCAACAGTTATGCTTGTTATCTGGGCTTTTTAATTGGGTTAAACCCAATAGAATGGCCCAAACTGTATTATTAATCAGACCAAACTGTAATAGAACTAAGGTTCAAAATATCGTTGTGTATCGGCCGTATCGACCGATATGTATTGTATTGGGGCCTTTTCAATACTCCCCGCTCCTATAGGGAGTGTATAGGGTCAGGCCATAGTTCAAAAGGTAGCCGGGACTTAAACCAACCCCTCTGAATCGAGAAAAAATTAAATAAAATATTAAAAAAACACCAATATAGGCCAATATGTTCTACTGGCGTATTGGCATGTATCAATATTTAAAACGTTGAATAGAATGATTTAATCTCTATATTAAAACGATTTGGTTTGGTTTGAGAATTTCTGAAAATATAATTTTTGACCATGATCTTAAATTCAACTGTATGAATATTTTTCTAAAATCACGGAAATGCATGAATAGAATAGAAAACCAAAACTATGCGTGTAAATTGGTATTTGTGCATGCTGCTGCTAATAATATTATAATATGTGGTCATCTGTCCCATGAGTGCTTTCTTCTTATTTCTTACTGTGGAACTAACTTCATCCCGTAAGCTCTCCATGTGCCAATCGTTGTTCTCTCAGACAAATAAACTCGGCACTTGTTACTGACACAATTTACACACACACACAGACTGGGGGTGGGTTGGTCTGGTCCGAAGATTCAAAGGAGGCCATCAATTTTTGTTTATAGAACTCTACAACTTTATAAAATAGCAGAGAACATAAAACCATGAACGAGATTGATATTATGTACAGGGTTATGATCGCTGTCATGGTTCAATAGTTCGTTTCACCACTAGAATGCATTCGCATTGTACTTGGGCGTAGATCGTAGATGAACTTTAGCTGAATTTGCAGATCCTAAAGCAGCATAACATGTATATGTTAAAACATTCAAGTGAAATTTTCTTGAATCGAGAAACAAGATAGAAACTAGAAAGGAAATCAAACTGACTCCAAAGTAGCAGAAGACATACAGCCAGTTATAATTTTGATTTCAGCAGCCCTCCTCTTAAGTTACTTGACAACAATTATGGAAGTGTTTGGCAAGTTTTTTCGTGTGATCTTTATGGCTTTTCAAAGTTTGGGAGATCACATTTGGTTTTTCTCTGTTTGGCAATGAAAGACGGGAAACCAGAAAGACTTGTGTTCTAAAAAGCCCATGGAAGCCCAAAGTTATAAAAAATCTGGAAACTTCCTG